CTGACAGGAACGGAGTCTCAAGTAATGTTGGATGCTCATGTTCAAGCGGGTTTTATTGTTGGGCTGCCATTTTCCAAGAGCGGAGGATATGATTTTGGGTCGACCAATATCACTCAAAGCATTTCACACCTTGGGGCTACGATGCTGAGGCACAGGCTTACCCCCCCACCAGAAGAGGCATACAGCCTCCATCGCAAACTTTCCGGTGCTTTCCTTGCTTGCATCAAACTCCGGGCTGTGGTCCCTTATAGGGATATTCTGCTTCAAGTTTATGACAAGTATCAGTTTGGTAGTGTTGGTGTCAGTGCTGACTAAATCTTCTAGGATTTGCAAATTGAATTTCATGACATTACCTGAATAAATTAATTAATCCGCATGTATGATTCTGAGGGACTTTCTTTTTAAATTTTTTTTACTGGCGGGAGATTATTTGGGACACTGATGCTGACGAGATTGTATTAGCATATCTCGATAAATATGATCGACTTAGGCCTTTAGTTTGATCGTTATTATATGTATTACTATTATTTATGTGTGTATTTATTTATGTCATGTGTTGGGCTTGTTTGTATTTATTTATGTTGTGTGTTGGGTTTGTATTATGGATCATGCTACATGTACCTCTTGGTTTACCACTTGGTTTACATCCAAGGGGTACATGTACCCATTTACCCTTAATGAATAATTTAGTAAATAATTCATTAAGGGTAAATGGGTACATGTATCCCTTGGATGTAAACCAAGTGGTACACCAAGGGGTACAAGTAGCATTATTCTTGTATTATTATGGGCTTTTAAGTCAATGTAATCAGGATAGTTATTATTATTTATTTATGACCGTAGGAACGTTGTGGACATCAGTTATTTGATTATTAAATGAAAATTATCTGTGTTCTTTGTTCCCTTTGAACATTTATCTGTTCATTCTTTCTGTACATGCTTCTTGTTGCATCATTTGGTATAAGATTCGGGACGGTTCTCGATGTCGAGATTGATGATCGTCTTCAAAGTATGGACGATCGGGTCCAATTGATGGACACTCGGGTGATCGATCTCGCCACGGGGATCGACGATATACGTACCACTCTTACGAGATCATGTTACGAGATCAGCAAGCATACAGGGAGTTTGTTGACGGGAGAGGTGGTCGCGCAGGTCAAAAAGGCGGCTGTGGTGGTCGTGGGTTTGGCAAGGCGCTCCGACAACTGCCCCTACAACCGGAGTTTGTCGATGTTGACAGCGAGGATACTGTCAATCCCTTTGCCGAGGGTTTTGCTCCGGAGGTAGATGGTGACCGTTGCAACCCGCAACGGAGGCCTGTGGGGGTCTGATTGTCTCGGTCTCCTCCCTGTGCAGAGGATGGTTTTCTGATCTCGGCTTTCCCAGTCTACCCTCCGATGGCGGCGCGCTGTGCTGCTGTAAATCACGATGCCCGTGCCATGTTGGCGGCGAATTCTGCCGTGATGCGGGTGGCGATTTTTAGCGAGTCGGATTAGGAGATTTCCGTCGTGCAGCTATCAGGGAGGATGCCCGCGGTTGGCCGCAGCAGGGTTGCCGGAGACCTGTCAATATTGAGGGTGAAGGGGCTGATGTCGATTTGAACGGGGGAGGAGCTTTTGTTGATGGTCGAAGATTTGCCAGCATTTTGTGAATTTTGGTAAAGGACAGTGCATTGGGGACTGTGCGGACAGAGATAATTTATTTCCTTCTCCCTATGGGCGTGCTGATTTAATTACCGAGGGTCGGTGGGAAATGGGAATCGACTTTCCATGTGGAAATTTTGAAATTTTCCTGGGGTTTGGATACGGCCGGTTTTCTTGACTGGTTAGCCGCCGTCGACTCGGTTCTTGATTTCAAAGGTGTCTCGAATGACCGACGAGTACCTTTAGTGGTGACGCGCTTTCGTGGAAGATTAGCTGCTTGGTGGTTACAATTGAAGGGTGCGCGACATCGTCTGAGGAAGCCTACAATCACGTCATGGTTGAAATTTCGTAAGTATCTCGAACGAGAATTTTTGCCATTTAATTTTGTCCGTACTTTATATCAACGTTCACAAAATCTTCGGCAAGGATAATGTATTGTGGATGATTATACTGAGGAGTTTTGTGAACTTCTTGCCCAGGTTGATATTCGTGAAACTCATGAACAATTGATTTCGCGTTATATTGGGGGATTGTCTCTATTCATGATGTGTTGAATATGTTTACTTCAGCCTCCATTTCTGAGGCTCATCGGCGGACTTTATTGGTTGAGCAGCAACAGGCCCGGAAAGCGGGCATTTCTTTTGCACCGTCTGCGAAGGAGCCTCCAGGGACTTCGGGTACTGCGCCGTCTACGACGAGTGTTCGCTTCGATTTATGTGCTCCATCTGAGGGTCGTGTGATTGGCCCCACGACGGGAAGTGGCACTCGACAGTCTGGTGGGCCATGTTGCTTCACATGTGGCGAGCCAGGTCATCGTCAGGCACAGTGCCCGAAGGCAAAAGGGTTACGGACGTTGATTTTTTAGGAGCTCGACTCGACTGTTTACGATGGTCCTCTAATTTTCGACAAGGAGTCGGAGGCTCCAGTCTCGGGAGACGTGGGTCACGCACTTGTCTTTCGTCGGTCTCTTTTGTTTCCCCACATCTCTTCCGATGATAAGGTTCAGCGTCACCACCTTTTTGAATCCACATGCACCATTGGCGGTCGGGTTTGCCGTTTTGTCATTGATTTCGGCTCATGCGAGAATGTGATCTCGAACAAGGCCGTGACGACACTTGGGTTATTGAGTGAGCCACATCCAGATCCGTATGCTCTTGCGTGGATACAACATGATGATTCTGTTTGTGTCACCCGATGCGTGTTGGTGACCTTCTCTATTGAATCCTTTTATAAGGACATGACTTGGTGTGACGTCGTGCCAATGGATTCTTGGCACGTTTTATTAGGATGACCTTGGCAATTTGATCGCTCAGTGGTACATGATGGACGCCTCAATATATAGTTTTTTATTTTAGGGCGTCCGCATAGTCTTGCATCCATCGTCATACAGTTCTGGTCCTTTGCCATCGTCGTCTCTGGTTTTATACGTTTCTCGCGTCGAGCAGTGTAGGGAGTTATCCGCTCGGTGGACGGTCGCTCGATAGTCTTTGATGTAAGTGATTTTGTCGATAGGGTCGTTCAGGATGCCGACGAGATTGCGAATTCGAGGGCGAATCCTCTCCACCCGGGAGAGAATGATGTCGAAGAGATTGAATTAACATATCTCGATAAATATGATTGACTTAGGCCTTTAATTTCACAATAAATCATATTTATCTATATACCTTAACTTAACTTACTTTCAAACATTTTATCTAAGATTGAGCTTGAACATTATTATATTTTTTTTAATAAGTGGCTTTC